TAGTACCAGTGATGTACATTGCCTTTACCAATACCCAAGAGATTATACCCAGCTAAGAGACATTAGAAATATGAGCAGAATAATACACTTCACATTGTTTGAGATAGGATAACACTATTTGTCAAATATAGATACGTCTCTTAAAAGATTCCATCAATTTGCACCTGTAAGAAAAGTCAAGAGGTTGATAATTACTGTATATTAATCTTATTTGATAAACTGTTCACACGACAAAGTTAAGTACCAGCTGTGTTTGGTACAAGAGACAGGATGTAGAACCCAATGGGTTTTCTTCCTTTTGGTGGGTGTGTTCACTTTCACGATGAGTGATGCTGCCCAATAACTCTACCTTCCCAGCAAAATTATAAATAATTACCATGGTGGTGGGTTATGTTCCTTGTGTCAAGAACCTGCAGTGGGCATACTGAGGTACGTGGGTTATGTTCCTTCTGTTGAGACAAGCTTCAATAAGTGTACTGATGGATGCATGATGGACAGGTTGAATTTCCTAATTTACTAGGCCTACAGTGGGTATGGAGTTAGATTGGAAGCAGGCAGGGGGGTGTGAGGAGTAAGTAAATGCATTATGTATGCAGGTAATGTATTATACAAAATAGCTTGACACTGAATAACACTTCAGTATCAAACTAACAAGTTTCAGTGCAGTGCTACAGATCTAAATCGTATAGAAATAATAATAATAATAATAATAATAATAATAATAATAATAATAATAATAATAATAATACATCAGCCATAGATACATACAACATAGAAAAATACAGCACACATCAGCTTGCTAGAAATGCAGTACATGCACTGAAAAACACACTATGTACTGTATAAGCTATTGAAAACAACTCCATGTAAATCCCTATAACACAACACATCATATATGGTGTATACAATACACTATATATAAGGTATTGAATAACACCATATATGAGCTATAGAACAGTGCACCATATATGAGCTATAGAACAACACACCCTACAGTATTTAATCTGTAGAACCATATATGACCTATAGAAGAACATACCGTGTATGAGCTATAAAACACACTGTACAGTATATGATCTATAGAACAACACAACATATATGAGCTTTAGAACAACACAACATATATGAGCTTTAGAACAACACACCATATATGAGCTATAGAACAACACACCATATATGAGCTATAGAACAACACACCATATGGTATAGTATACCACTGGTAGAAACAGAATACCTGTTATTCTTAGTGCGGTCAACCCTAGCCACTGGTGTGCCTGTCAACAAGGTTATGCAACCAGTTGCTGACATGACCCCACTGGAGTTTGGAGCATAAACTGTAAGTAATGCTCATATCATCCACTGTGCCACACCATATTTCACTTATTGTAAAGCATGCCATATACAAGCTATGTATAGATAAACACTAGAATCATGCATAAAATATGATATAACACAATAAAGACTGTAGAATAATATACATGCAGTTCATTATATTTTTATCATGTACAACTGATGTAAAACATACATCAGCTACAAAATAATAGTCTAATGCACAGTGCTCATACAAGTTTTCAAATTGTTCTAATATAGGAGCAACACATGTCCTATGCAATCATTACTATTGGAAAATATATAGGCTAAATCAAGGGCAACAGTGCAAGAATTAGATGCCTATTTAAGTACTTTTTTTTAATACTTTGTGCCTACCTACTGATGATTGGCAATGTTGTCTTCTGACACTACTAGTCTACCATACCGAGTTACTGTACCTAGTTAATTGTTCCAGTGGAGGTAAACTTTTGCTTCTATTCCGCCTTCTTCTTAATATAGTACTATTTGTCAACCTAGTTACCTTACTTATTTAACATTAATTGCTCATTTAATAATGATGGCTACTTATTTACTAACATTATCTACCTTCTGCAAAGTTATTAACATTATGCTTGGTACAGTACAGTACTGTACTTATGTAACGACGTTAATCATTAATTACCGAGCCAATTACATACTGTACTTGTATAAATGAAAGGGCTATTTTTCTGATGTTAGATGCATCAGAAAGATTGTTTTAGATTCTTATACTCCTGAGAAGTATTATAACAATTTGCTTGACTATTAATTACCAAGATAGGCAGCCTAAACAGTATACAGGTATACTATAGGTACTGTTTTAGTTACCAACACTGGGTATTTTCTTATCAACATGAAAACACATTTTAGCTTGGTAAAGTAGTCCAATTATGAATATAATCCAGATTTTCAAATATAGCTGACTTTTTGCTGTCAATTTCATGGCAGGTAAAGCTAATTAAGCAAAGAACTGGTAAAGTTTCTGCTTATAAGAAATCGTCGAAAGTAACATGCTCGTCAGTTCTTTTACTTATAAACCTACCTTAGGAGCAATTTTGCTACTATTGTACTAGTTATATAATTTCCTTTTCATTTAAATGCTCTCCATCTTTGAAAAACTTTTAACTAAAGCTACCAAAGCATCTGAAGTGAAAGCCACATCTCTTGCAGACAATAAGTCGCAACAACATGGCTGAAATTCAGACACCCAACACACACACATCTGAAAATAAAGGAAGTAATAACATTTCAAGTTGAGTAATATATGACATAATAATGGTCCAGGATGGACCAAAACGTCAAATCCTTTATTTTCAGAATCGTGGGTTGGGTGTCTAATGTCCACATCTCTTGGTTTGCATGCACATGCATACTGTATGTGCATGCAAACATACAAATATGCTTGTTAAAAAAAAAAGTCAGAAGTGTATGTTATTGTTCATTCGTATCTTTACATACCATTCTCCAAAAGAATGATGTCTCTGGTGCCTCAGCTGCTGCAGCCAGTTACAGACAGGTCGTCCAATGTGTAAACACAAACACGTGCCAGTTTTGCAATGTTCCAATATATGTTTACTTTCCGCTAAATAAATCTTAAAGTTACTACGTGTCTTCTATCCTTGACTGGTGGCTAGATATTTAGTGCAAAACTGTCGAGCAAAATGCTGATATGAACATAAATGGGTTTGCTGGTGTAGATTCCTTACATGACAGAAGGAACGACAGCCAATATTGAGGCCAAGGCCATTCACAAGAGATGAGCACATCAGTGTAAAATCTGAATTGTTTGGAAAGTGCCATGTGTCAATATATACAGTACTGAATAGTATATAAAAGAGAGTAGAATGGGAGCGTGATCAAAATTTGTCAAAGTATAGGAAAGTGATGCATGACTGGAACAAAAAATATATATTTTTAACTACCTTTATATACAAAATAAGGGTGAATACTGTGAACTTCAGAACTATAGAAACATTAGTGTCCTATATTCCATGGGCAAAGTGTGAGACAAAGTATCTGAAATGTCGGGCTCGTGGGGTGCACGACCAGGCCCCTAGTCAAAGTTTAAGAAGCAAGTGCATTTACCATATGCATTGTTTGATAATGTTTAGGCTGCAGAGCCAAGGAATACCACCTACCAAGCCAATGCAGGAAAGGATGCACCATCCCAAGCAATGCTTCCACACTTCAACTGGAGTCCTACAGCATTGAGTATTCTCCAACCCCAATTAAATTTTTGTTGTTTGCTAATATTTGGTTGTTTGTGATGGAAAATGTTTGCTTGTATTCCCAGGTTTGGGTGCCGAGACTGGGCACCCAAACCTACCTCCAATAGCAACCCCTCCAAAGGAAAGGGGGGAGTTTGATGGCATAGTAAAAATTCATAGTTGAAGTTTTCAAATACATTGTAAGGTCTTTGGATGTGACCAATCTTTGCTAGCATTATGTACCACGTAGTTTCTCTGGTATAGTTAACTTCTGAAAAGAGCCTATTTTTCTAATGAATTATATGCCAAAATATTTTATGCATCTTCTTCACTACCTCATTTCTCACTTAAATAGGATTCATGAGCCTTTTCTAAATATTTAAAATTTGGGTATGGAATTTACTGAAAAGCGCTAAGTCAGTATGACTATGTAGCACAGTATATATTCAAGTCACGAGGATGCCAGTATAAAACAAGACAAGATGATCAACATATATTAATTTCACTAATTTTATCTAAAGGCATTAAATGATTTAGAAAATGGGGACAGTAAGAAAGTAATTATCAAAGAAGGCACCAAGCCGGGAAGGCTATGTAGCACCATCAAATGTGTGGAATAATCAGAGGGCGCTAAATATCACTTAAGATGTCAATTAGAGAAACGCATAAGGCGAATGATATCAAAAGTATCTGATTCACCAAGAATTCTATTGAGGGACGGTCAAAAAGCAAGACACGCGTCCTGGAAGTTGGGACAGTCAACAAGGATATGCACAACTGTAAGAGGAACAATGCAGTTAGGACAGTAAGCAGCAGGGCTGCACTCCATTAATTTGTCCACGAGTTAAGCATGTATGGCCAATACACAACCTTGCTAGAGCAATTTCCCACCGCCGGTTATGGTGGTAGGAGGAAGGTCATGGGGAGACACTATTCTTAAGAGTGCACAGTTTGTTACCAGTAACAAGACCAACAACCCTGCCAACAGGCAAAGATGGAAAAATGAATAACTGGGTAAAAGTCGGAATAAGGAATACCTTTATGGGAGATGAGACAAGTGCAAATAGCTTCCTTAGTGGCAGCATTCGCACGCTCATTAAATGGGGAAAGGAAAATTAATATTAGTGAAATAAATTTATTGTATCTATTCCAATAAATCAGGTGTTGATAATTAGAAAAAATTAATCCTGTCAGTTTCTATCATTTAAATTAATTCTTCATGTTCAATCTCTTATCAGCCTTTGAATTGGCAACTAATCCTAGAATCATCACATTTGTGACTGCTGCAAGCACATCATAATTAGCAGATCATTCTCCTTACTTAAATATACACTTTCGTGATCGTTATCTTTAAATCTCTCCTGCCCTTGTTCAAGAGTATTACCCGTTACCCAGGGAGATCCACTGAAAGAAGCACAATAGCATAGGATAATGAAATACTAATTTATTTTACATTGTTATTTCCTGTATATGTAAATAAGCCTTATATTTTAAGTGAAAATACATGGAATTTTCAAAGAAAAAATCTTGCTCAAATAGCTTGCTTCTGTCAAACATACACGCTTACAAAACACTTGTATTTTTGCATATTTCTTTGCAATTAACTGGTACTTAATTATTGAACAGAATTTCCACAAAAATTACTATATACATCAGTACTGTATTTCACACACACACAACCAAGCTCGAGGCAAACAACAAACCTAGCATATTCCTGGCACAAAACACAAGTACTTACAAGGGACATTAGCAGTTTAATGGAAATGCAGTTGAACTACAATATTTTATTTGTGCACCTTTGGTCACCAAGAATAAATGGCTCTCTCACCAATTCAATAAATATATACATAAATAATTTTATGGGGACACATGGTCCATCATTTAATAAAATGACTGAACACACTTAATGAACTTCCCAAACAGGTACAAGTGATCAAAGTCATGGCCAGTTCACATTATAAAAACAGTGAAGGAAAGTAGTGCTACTCAGCAGAAAACCAAGGTGGGCGATATAAAGGGGGTACTTTTAAATTCCATTACAGTTTTTATTATGTTAACTACCTTAGTCGTACTGTTGGGTCAACTGGTTTTAGGTCAGAATGCCAGAACCCCTTTTTAAAGTTTGTCTTGGCATGGTAACATCAAAGCCACTATGTGATTACAAAATGTGGCAGTTTTAATCTTTCTACAAAGAAACAACAGCCAACCAAGTAAATATTCAGGAGATATAAAGATAGCAAACAATTGAAGTCTTCATGCCAGTCATACCAATCTTAACCACTTTACATTTTTTTTTTTAAATAAAGTCATTTTGGGCTCTGGGATTTGGGATGTATTTGTCAGATCTTTCAGTCTGTTCCCAAGTCTGTCTGCTGAGTCATTAGGTCATTATTTCTACTTTTGAATGCAGTAGTACAGGCTTTAGACATGGCTTATAAACAATTTAAATTAAAAAATCAGTTTGATACATGTAAAAGACAGACAAATTGCAAAACAAGCAAGCTTTAAATTCTTAGATATAACTTCAATCTATTTTGCATAAAATTGATGCAACCTAAAATTGAACAAAAATATATATATCCTTAGCTTAGAAATGAAATTAAAGAGAATGCAGTTTATATCAGCAACATCAAGCACACATTATACCTAACAAGCTGCTTAACAAAAATTTTAAAAAGTAGTTTATACACGCAAAACATTTCTCAAGATAATACAAGACGGTTAACAAACACCAGATCAGAGGCATCAAGAAATCATCCAAAATAAGACCAATATATCCTGCACACACGAGCAACGCCTGATGACGACAACACAAACATACCTTGCAATATTGAAACAATTTCAAGTCAATTATACAAACTAGAAAGTGATCTATAACTATGTTGCTATTCTTTACTGGTAAGATAACAACACTATGAAATGCTTCCATTCAGGACTACTGCAAAGCTGTTTTAGAGTTGGAGATGAATATGGAATGTGAGGCATAACAGCAAAACCTTGTCATAGAGGTCGTCTTACAGAACTAAACTAGCCAAAAAAACAATGACGAGTAAGATCATACGCTTGTCAGATGGGGGGAAAAAACCCAAGGAGGAGTCTGTTGCCAAATATTTTCAAGGGCAACAACTGATCTAACACAGTTTCAGTGATCTATTTTTCAATGACCAAAACTGACAAATCTACTGCACAGCTAGATTAAAACTTGCCTCCATTTAAGACAATTCAAAGAAAAAACCCGAATCAAAATCTTGTTAGGTACAGTAGTTTCATAAAAGTTCAGTCATATAAATGTACTGAAAACTACACTCATTAAATTGATGAATAATAAGCCACCTAATATATCACATTCATTATTTGAATAATTACTGAATCTATAAAAAGTTTGACAATACTAGATAAGACTGCTAAAAGAAAAAAAACAGGATAAATTGCAGCAAATTTTTACCTGATTTTAATAATGAATCATGAATTATACCCACTATACTGGATATCAGCTAATCTACAATGCATCACTTGTTAAACAAGAATGGACCGTTTCCCATACATATATGACCTTGTACATCAACACTTCCTTGATAAGTCAAACAATTAAAATTTAGACATTATACATATTTTAGTAAAAAAAATATACATAAATTAATAATGTCATACATGTGCATTTGCCTGCACATTTATCTACAATTAAGTCACCTGTATGTAGTCAGATGTGCACTGCAGCCCCAGGGGCAAGTCATTTGCGAGTTTGTTTTACGCAAGTGTTTGGCGTCACTGGGAACATGACTGTTGGAAGTGGTTGTCTAAAGGTACAGGGGGTTGGTTGGTTCATTGGATCGTTGGTTGGTTAGGGTAGTATTAGGTCGCTGTGTTGGCTGTCCGTAACTGTCCGTTGTGTAGTCGGCGTAGTCACGATGTCAACACGCTGCTGTGGAAACAAGATAATTCAGTAAAATCAAATAACTACAGATTCAGTCAAATTTGGGTTAAGTCGCCTATGTTAGTCATAGTATCATGAATAAACTGATATTTTATAAATTACTGTACAATCTTTTCTGGAAAATAGATTCTCAAAAATTTGACTAATGTACTGACCAATGTGATAAACTATTAGAATTATTTACAACAAACATGCACAAGGAAATAAGAAACAATGAAGAATAATGACAGTATTTAACATATCATTACCATTCATGCAAAGAAAGTACAGTATAGTGAGACACCATGCCACGTTAGAATTTAGTTACCATAATACATTCCCATGCAAGTGTACTGGCACTACTAGATGGAGGGAAAGAAAAAACATACAATATACAGTAGAAAACAAAAATAAATACAGTATTGTTTGTTGAAACATAACGTTTATATATACAGTATATATTTTTTTTCTTGAAATTTTTCAAATCCAACAATCAATTAGAGAAACTGAAAATATTACAATTACAATTTTCAGCACATGGTAAAATATAGTAAATATAGTCAAATATAAAAATATAAAAATTTTCCAGCACGGAACGCTATTTGTTTTCTAACATACTGTGTGCACGGTTGAAAATTAAAAGACTTCCCTTCAATGTCTAAAGTGCAACAAGCCCTCATATACCTACATAGCCTGAATGTCATGTGCACTCCAGCAACGGGATCATTTTCACCCCCCTAGAAAATACTCTGCACATCACCAATTACTGGTCTTCTGACAGATCAGAATCTTATAAATTAATGTTAACACAGTATAGTGATGTTTTTAAACTGATCTACAATTAATAGTACTATCCTCTTAACCCTTGTCTAGTGCTGGGTCACTTGGTAAGACATTGTTATAGCCTCTCTGGATGTGGTAGTGACCAAATGAAACATTTGAGTTTTAAGCCCCTCCCCTCCTCCCTGTATGCAATATTTCTCAAAAGTATTCACTATCTTTAAAAAAAAAAAAAAAGTTTAAGATTCAAAACTTTTGCATTATTTTAAAGAAAAATTATAAAGATTGTACGGGTAAGGGAATTCTGAAGAGTATGCAAGACCACCATTTCTGATATAATTACTGTACTTTGAAGTGCTCTAAATGATTAAACTGAGAGTAGAAAAATCATTACTCAGAAAAGAGTAATGATCGTCCAAATTGTCCATGTCCAAATCCTATTTTGAATCTACCATTGTCTCATACATGTGTATACTGTACTGTAATGCCATTCTAACTTTGGAGGAGTAAAGTTGGGTAACTTCCTTACAAGTACTTTAAACACTCATGAAATGTCTTACCTGTTAGGAAAGTTTTTTTTAATATAAATTGGAAAACAAAAGAAGTTGAAACACCCAGCACTGCAGGTCAAATCTAGCATCTTTTTTTTTTTTTTTACCTTTGACATTATCTCTCACTAAAAACCATTTCCCATCAGAAACCTGAGTCCAGTCTAGTACAAGCCAAATTATTCTGGCCTACTTCTCCACCTTGTGTACAGGACTGGGCCCTCATGCATAATTCACTGCAATTTGAACACATTCGGGCCCAAAATTGAAATTCTGGGGCTTTAGTGATATTAATTAAGAGCATCACATTCTAGACAACCTCAGAGTAATGGACATCGCCCTTGATAAGTTAGGCGAGTTACTTAAGCTCGTAATACTTCTGGTTAGGTAGGTATAACACCTCAAATTAGATGCTTGTAAAATCGTAAATTCAGGCTGTTGAATAAGCTTTTATGACCAATTTTTTGTTTTTCCCAGTACAGGAAGATACAATCCACCCAGCACTCTCACTCTCTCATCACACAACTTGGCCCCTTTAAATTAATGTCTGTTACAAAGTTTGCTCTCTGTAGACAAGCCACACTTTTCCCGAGTATTTTTTCTTCAGTATTCAACATGAGATGGAAGTCAATTACATTAATCTGTAAATCAGGGTGTCCTATCTACCTTCTTGATATTAAATACCACATTTAGTTTTCAGAATACTGTGAGCTTCTCACTTACATTGCATTGACTTAGAGGCAAAGTGCTGAGAGGCACTCAAGTTGTGGGTGGGTGGGAGGGGGGGGAGGTGTTGTACTCACCTAATTGTGCTTGCAGGGGTTGAGCTTTGGCTCTTTGGTCCCGTCTCTTAACTGTCAATCAACTGGTCTACAGATTCTAGGCATCTGAAACTGTGTATGGAGTCTGCCTCCACCACATCACTTCATAGTGCATTCCATCTGTTAACTACGCTGACACTGACAAAATTCTTTCTAATGTCTCTGTGGCTCATTTTGGGTACTAACTTCCACCCGTGTCCCCTTGTTCGTGTTACTTCCGTGCTAAAGAGTCTGTCTTTGTCCACCCTGTCAATTCCTGAGAATTTTGTAGGTGGTGATTACGTCTTCTTACTCGTGTGTCTTCCAGGGACATTTAGCTACCATAGCCTTTCCTCGTAGCTCATACCTCTCAGTTCTGGGACTAGTCTGGTGGCAGACCTCTGAATCTTCTCTAACTTTGTCTTGTTACAGATTCCAGAGCTTATTGGGCTCTTATCTACATCTGAAACAGTATGGAGTCTGTCTCAACCATCAAGCAGCTGGTGGCCTGATGGTTGATGGGAGCCGGTGGCTGAGCGGACAGAACACTGGACGCGTGATCCTGTGGTCCCTGGTTCGATCCCGGACACCAGCGAGAAACGATGGACAGTTTCTTTCACCCTGACGCCCCTGTTACCTAGCAGTAAATTGGTACCTGGGAGTTAGTCAGCTTTCACAGACTACTTCCTGGGGGTGGAGGCCTGGTCGAGGACCGGGCCACAGGGGACACTAAAGCCCCGAAATCATCTAAGATAACCATATCACTGTTTATGCATTCCAAATGTTTTTACTACTCTAACAGAAAAAGTTATTTCTAATAACTTTATATTATGTTTATAGCGCATTTGGTATTCAGTTTCCACCTGTGTCCTCTTCTGTGTGTACCATCTGTGTTAAATAATGTTAACCTGTGTTAATAATTTAACCTATCAATTCCATTAAAAATCTTCTATGTGGTGATTATGTCTCCTGTAACTCTTCTGTCTTCCAGCAATTTCGTTCCGAGTAGCTACATTTAAAACATCATCATCTGGGAAGGCTATGTAGTGGGTGTCGAGTACTGTGAGACGGGGTGGGTGTGGGGTATTGAGAAGTGGGGTGGATATGGAGAACTGTGTGAAGTGGGGTGGATGTGGGGTACTGTGTGAAGTGGAGAGGGTGTGGGGTATTGGGGGATGTGGGTTGAATGAAAAGGGTGTTGCATTGGTATTTTAGGGTCAGTCGTGTTAGTTTTACCTATACAATGATAATAGTGTGTGTGTACCTCTGGTGTTACATCTACACCCAGGGCGTTTTTTTTCTATTTTTGACTTCAGTAGCTGGTCTCCTCTCTCATCTTCCAAACCTCAATTTTTTATGCAGGCGATGAGTCACAATAACGTGGCTAAAGTATGTTGACAAGACCACACACTAGAAGGTGAAGGGACGACGACATTTCGGTCTGTCCTGGACCATTCTCAAGTCGATTCGGAGGGACTAAACTTTAATAGCCATTTGTCTGCCTATTCCTACCTGTGCATGATGTTCTGTTGTATTATGCAATACATTCTGATCTTTACCTTTCTCATTAGTTTGACATCACCTGCTACAGTAACATTAACATATAACCCCTAGGAATGTTATTTACATAAATTGGGAACAATAGTGGTTGAAGAATCAAACCTTGTGGGACCCTATTTGCCACTTCCTTCCACTGACAGTGTTTCCAATTTGTGATATTCCCTAATACAGCTCAGAATCTTCCCAGTTATCTCACATTAGTCCATCCTTTTGTAGGAGAGACTCAAAAGGCTTTTTGTGAATCTTGATGACCCCATCCTTCTCTACTGATGTACATTTGTGATCTTGTCACAGAATTATCAACTTTATAAGGAATACATTTCTTTCAAAGACCACAATGTCTCTGATGTGAAGTCAAGCTCCATCCAAATGTTCCCCTACCCTCATTCTAATCATATCTTCCAGTAATGTATATGGGATGCATACCAACATTATGTTCAAAACTTTTAATTTTATTGAAAATGGACACCACCATTTCAGTCCACTAGGTTTTGGAAGTGCCTCATTTGATAACACAATACACACTTTACTCAGAGGGCTATCTAGCATCTGTTTCATTTTTCAATATCCCGGCAAAATCTGGTCTATTCCTATTGGGTTGCATATACAGTAAATAATCCTTCCAAGTGTTTTTGTATCTCCTATATTACTATCATATCTTCCATAATATATTCTATTCTTCTAATATATTTTGTGTCAGTCGTCCACCCTACCTATATCTTAACCTGCAATCAATTGTTAATTCTACACAGACCTCAATCACTTTCTTCAAAGACACTCCATCTGAAGTCTTATAACTTTGTCCATTAGTTTTCATTTCCTTCAGTGTATATGGCCCTCTCTGGTTTTGTCAAACTTTCAAACTGTCTCACATTTTTCTCTCAAACCCAAGTGAACTTATTACTGACCCCCCCCCCTCCCTACCTTCCCTCTCACATTAATACTCTAGTGTGAATTTTTGTCCAAATTTTATTTATTTTTTTTTTTTCCTGGGGTTCCTATTTCAAAAGCAACCGTGACTTTTGCCTCGAACACGTTCTCAACATGCTGAAGGAAAATCTCTAGGTAGAAAAGGATAAAGTTAAGAAAGCAAAATCTTTAATTGCTGCAAATACTTATGTTGAGCAATTTCAACCATACCTGTTTTCATGCGAGGTCCAAAAAGCCAAATTTAATGAAATACTCATTGCTTTTGTTAGAAAGTACATAAGGACTAAAGATCAATGAACCACAAAGTCCCTGTCCCAAAATGGCATTCTAGAGATAAGAATGCTTTCTTCATCTCATGTTCTAAGCCAAGCCTCCCAGGCACTCAAGATTAAACATTTACATCACAAATATGCAACTAAACACATCTGACTTGTAAAGCACTGGGTAACATAACTGCTGAACTGGAAGTAGTATTCGTTTGTATTAAAGAAGAACACATGGTTCCCTTAAGTGCTTCTTATCTTGGAGAAAGTGTACCATTATCCAACAAACTTGAGGTGGTACCCCTTATGTTTACACTAGATATTCTACACGAGTTCATCATCACATGTATATGCATACATGTTTTATCTAATAGTCAGAAGTGCACTACTAATAGGCCTAGTAGGTAGAGACCATTTTGCATAATGGCCATGGCCAAAACAGTTTTAATTTTCTTCTAACCCTTTCAAAAACAGTTTGTCCCTTCACTTGTCAAGTATTAATACCACAAACATTTTGCTATGACACATTTACTATAATAAACTTTCAACAGACAGGTGGTTTGATATAAATATTTTTAGAACAATAATTTATCTTGCTTTATTATTTACTTATATTTAAGAGAAAAACATATATGCATATCTTACCATATATATAAATAAATTAACAAAAATATGAAACAATACCAGTACTAAATTACCATGTTACACCATGCAACGTAATTCAAGAATAACTTGTATAAAAAATATAAAAAGGTATCATCTTGTGTAATAAAATATGAGAAACCATTTGGGAAAATCTCATGCAACTGAAGAGTACACAGAGCCACACAAGTTTCAATAACCACAAAGGAATAGCCATTAGTCATGCCTCTGCCCCTTGTCTCCCATTATCAACATGCTGCCATGTTTCCCTATCACAGATATCAATATCACAGCCCGTCATATTGTCTAAAAATCTTTATTATTAAAAATACTGAATTCAAACTTTGCAAAATCTACAGGAATGATAGCCATATCAAAACATACCTAACTGTAATATGAAAATACACATACATTTCCTGGGTACAGTACATAAAACTACATTATGCAATGCATACTAAATATGCAATTACAATATTGTATTACCACTTTAGTCTGTACTTAGGTAATTACAGAAACTTATTTTTCTAATCCATTCCAGGACAAGGGTAATACCTTACAATCTTATACAACAAAATAGTGGAAATTGTCCTCTTAATTCACTTGCTGACCATGGATAAACATTTTATGTCATGCAAAATAATGATGGCTTATTTACAAATTTCTTTGCATAGAACAATTGACCCACAACATACAATGTGTTTCACAATATGAACAAATATACACCTACAGAGAATGGGATAAGATTTTGTCCTCCATTATTAAATATTCCAATCTATTATGAATCACAGCATAAAAAAAAAAAAAAAAAAAATTACAAGTCAAATCTAGAACTGTAATTTAAACCAAACTTACACTTTCATGAATCAAAGCTTAAAAATTAGGCTAACTATACCCAAGTATCATCACATTGTATATCTTAAAACTATTACAATGCTGCCGAGGGAAAAATATTTGAGGAGAATCCCACTCAGTGCACATGTAAATGTGATTCCTCTTATGATGCTTAAAATCCAGTTTTTTAAACTTTGAGATGAATGTTTTACACCATACCTCTTTCCTTGCACTAGAAGACTCAGCTCTGGTCATCAATACGGAGTCTCTTGCGGCCAGAATCGGCTTTATCATGTGGATCAGCTTCCATAACCTTCAGACGGGAACCTAGGACCTCTTGACCATGCAACACCTGTGAATGGATTTTGGCAATTTTATTCGAGGAAATAAAGTCACAAATATATGCCAAACCGCTTAAAAATTTTGAATAATGCTCGTCTGTTACATAATCAGCTATGTACCTATATTTGTATAATAACTACTGTATTCATAATACAGTATGCAGTAAGTCCAGGAATTATTGGAGCCATCCATACTTCCTGGCACATACACAAGTATATGCCGAGACTAGGAAATAATTCACCATATTAAGGAGTTTCATACCCCTAAATCAGGGGTAAAAAAACTTTAGGGCACACTTCTAATTTTGCCGTTCTTTACATGTTTGTAATCTCGCCAATTATTGTGTGTATGAAGGGAAATGTAAATAAAGATGTTAAATCAAATCATTAACAAGCCTAACCAAAAGCCAGACAAGGATGTTACTCCATAATAAAAAAGGATAATATATTTTATATTCACTGGGCCAAGTGAAGGATTAACAGTTTGAGTGAAATTGCACTCGCTTTGTGAGCATTTTCGTCTGGTATCAAACAATACTTTATTATTGTTTACCTGGCTGGTAAAGGTTGACTCTGCACCAATCTCAACTGTAGTAATTGGGGACCCGATTGTAAACTGATTTGCAAGTCAAGTTCCAGGGGAAAACTAATAAGTAATTATGTAAGGTAATTATGGCTGTGGGAAGGAAGAGGCCCAAACCTGCTAACAGAAGTATCTACTGTATCCACCCATGTTACACAAAAAAATGGATGGCATGTACAAGCACGTGCACACACACACTCACAAATACCATAAGGTACTAACTAGTGAAAATATGCATGTAACTAAATTATACAAATTACTCACCACAATGGCCTTGTCTGCAGATTCTTTAGCAGAATATTTTGCATAACCAAATGTTTTGCCATTTAGCATGTAGATATCAATGAGATTCCCAAATCTTCCAAAAACATCTTTCAAAGCATAGATGGGAGGTGGTGATGGATGACATACAATAAATAGTCTGTGGGGGGAATAAAAAAAAAAAAAAAATTACCATCAACACAAACTATTTTTGGTTTTGCTCTAAATACTGATCGAGATTATATAAACTGCACAACTCAAATATTCCAGCAACAAATTATTACTTACCTCTCGGCAACAGCAGAGTCAACGGGTGCAAGTGGCTGGGGAGGAGGTAGCTTCACGGAACAGTAAGATGGGTCATATGTTTCCCCTCCACCAAGCTGTCCTGGACTTCCCATGTTGTTCACATTCCCAGGTCCTACAATGGTAATGACTTCTTTATTATTAAACACTTTGAAACTTCAACACAAAAGTTTATAAAATACAGCACAGCCAAATATTACTCTTACCACCAAAGATTATCATAAATTTAATGAACTTGAAGAACTGGTCAATTACTACCAAGACATCAGACAATTAAATTATTACACATCTAGAATGCTTTTTTTTTTAAGATATGAACTGCGTCTCGCCCTTTATCAAGAATATGACTTAGTAGATTATAGCCCATTTAGAAACATCGAAGAGACTGGTAAATCCTTCACTATTCACACGTCACAACTATGTGTTTATTGTCCTAAAACATTTTATGCCGTTTACATTATGACCCGGCCAGAATTACAATCTACATACAGTCAACTTCCGATATAGCGCAACACAGATTCAACAATAAAAATAAAGTGCTCATACATTCACATTACACATTCATTATTCAATGGATTCTCACACAAAAACTGCTCTATTTCTAATCAGTTTTTCTATGAAATTATATTTATTAATGAAATTTTAGCAATATCTAATGAAATAATTGCACATTAGTTCTCAGAAGATAAAAAAATGCAAGCACTGGCATTATATCAATATTAATTTAATTAAAAAAAAAACTGAATTTTACAATAAAACTGGATGAAAAATAAGAGTAGGGATTGTGGGAAACATTGAATATTTTAAGTAATAAGATTCTGCTCAGTCGATGAGACCATACATTACATAATTTAAACAAGGTTAACTTTTCTTAAAAGTAAGATTCTTGAAATGTAAGCGTTTCAAGCTACACAGCGTCTCCTGGAGCACAACCCTGTGTAACCTCGGAAGTTGACTGCAATAACCTTAAAAACTATAATCTTACAACTTCATATAGCATTTCAGACAAATGGAAAAATCATGCAAACTCATAAGAGCACCAAACCCATCCAACTGATTAATCTGCAAACTGCATCCAGCACCACCCTTTTATTCTCAAAAGTATGGAAATGTGCAACCACCAACCCTGATTTAGTCCTGCAGCCTGTATGAGAGATGTTGCTTGGGCAATGGTCTCAGCTAACTGTGCTAAATTCTGTTGGATATTGCTGTTTGGCTGTCCACCAGAGAGTGACTGGGGGCCTACATTCATACTGCCAGGAGGACTTCCTCCCATTGTACCATTGTGGGGGGCTAGAGCACCTGTTACACCTCGAGGCAAACCTGCAAACGGTGGGCCTCCCGGAGCGCCTGGCATCATTGGTGGTGGCCCTCTGCAAAAATGTAAAAAAAATTGAGAAAAACAAAATTTAATTAAATTTTTCATGTATCGAATAAATCAAGACACAAAACTATGCGGTAACTTACGGAGGCATGTCATGGTGAGAATCAAATTTGACAATTAATCGTTGGCCAGGAGGATATTCAAATCCATGAAGCTTTTCCTTGGCATAAGTTGCAGATTGGGTATTGTTATACACCACGGTAGCAACCCCACGTGCTTGATGATGGAGCATCTTTTGAATTGGGCCAAGAGAGTGAACTTTAGTACAGAGTAGTTAATACAAAATAGTAAATTGTATTGGTCATTCACAAAAAACTACCAAGATAATAGTATTCTATTTCTTAGGGTATTGTCTTTGGCAATATATATATGCTACAACCAACTAGGTTTGACACATTCATAACCCCAGAATCATCCTTCAATGAACAACAGTATTTATCAACCTCTGTCATTTTGGCTAATCTCTACAATTCCATGTTTTCAATATTTATTGTAGTGATAAAATTATCTGCAATACAAGCATATTAATTTCCTTACTAATAGCCAATTATTGAACAAAGGTTTCAGCAAAATGTCATGTAAATAGGTAATACGAGTGATAAAAATGGTATGAAAATACTGGTACTGTATTTGCAAAACATAACTTTAATGCCAAATGCCTTGAATTTTTTCCTTTTAATTGCATATTTAAAAATTAGCAACTGCTAGCTTTATTTTGTCAATTAAAAATCTTAGCAAAGGCATGCAATTTCATTTGAATTTAACCATTTTTGTAATTGGTATCATTATGGGAGCCCATATCTTATGAATTTGGATTCAACTTTAAAATTATAATAATTAACTGATATCTTCCCTCAAATTTAAATATTAAAAGCTGTTATCTAAATATCACGTGGCTTGTAACTTTAACACTGTGGCAGATGCAAGTGTAATCAAATCTACCCAAACAATGACATCTACTAATATTATTTTCATTGTAACCAAACAAGACAGACTTTCCAATTTCATAAGTTAACTTGTGAACAACTGCAGCCATCAATATTTCTCATACACACCCAGAATCATTCTCCAGAAAAACACACAATTACACCCCCATCCTCTCCATTTGTTTCTACTTCCTCACTTTACACTTGTACTGCATTAGTATTAGCAACTGGCAACTGCTTCACTAATTCTGACAATCAAACCAAGATGCAAAACTCATAACCATTGTTATGAGTGCTGGCTAATGGGTTACTGATATTTGAAAGGATGGAAAATAGGAGCAATAGCCAAAATATCCAATTACAAATCTGCATGCTTTGCCCTATTCTAAATGCAAGAAAGGGGGAGATCAGACAAAAGTTAAGACAAAATATAATTACAACTATTTACAGTTCCTGTTGATAAGCATTCCTGTTTCCAGAATATTAATTGGTGAATTACTAAAATTCTGTACCCAAGGTATTCATACGTACAACTCAGGGAAGTATTGGAGTTTGTCAGCAGTCCCTAACAACATGTTACACCCTATTCCTTGCATGCAGTTCTTTTGCCAAAAACATCAATGGTTTAGTTAATTGAGAGAACTTTAAACTACATACTAAGAATGATGCTCAGCATCCTCTTTAGTTTATACTACTTGTAATCTGGAGTTACATTAACTGCCTGTCTACAAATGGTAATGGTATGTGAATACACACAGATGTCAGTTATTGCAAATTTTTACACCTACTATAAAATAAAAAAAAGCAAGCAACCACACCAGTGTATTTGTATAAACTAAAACCTTTTGACCATCAATGTGACGCCTATCATTATACTAATATCTAAGGTTGTCCATAACAGTGTAATGAATAGAGTCTGGTAATGTCAAGGACAGACAATAATCTACATAAGGCAATTATGTCCAAGGTGTAGTGTTCATTGCACCTTGTCCAGAGGCACTCGAGAAATAGCCGCTTATCTTAATCTAAGGTTAAATTAGAACACAAACTATGTCCCAATTTTCCCTGTCCAGATGCTGGTACAATGATAGTATACCTGTCCAGACTTGCGGTCTTTCCTCAGGTCGCAGTAATCAAGACCGGGGATAAGGTCAAACAACTTCCAGAGCTGGTCCTGGTTGAGGGTCGGCGAAGCAATAACAGTCAGCCGCGTCACACCCTCAGGATTTAGCCCACTTGTGTCCACTGTAGAGGGGTCGGATGTCCGCAATGAGTTGTGTCATTGGTCAAAATGGGCCAAACAGTTAAACAAGTCCTTGTTTGCATAAAGAATTTCCAGAGGTGCACTTCAAGCAATATACAATGCAATACTGAATTACAGTACAAAGCATATATATTTTTCCAAGAATAATGAAAGTAGCCATCTTAAAAATAAAAATATATTCCTATGCAAAAATATGTGCACCAGTTAGAATTCTCTATGCAATTTTTTTTAAAGTAACAAAGGACATTTCTTTGACATTTACCTTAAGGCCAATTTACAAGAGCATCACTTGAAGTTATTAGCAGTTAAGAAAAGTTTAGCAAAAGCATATATACCTACACTTAATGAACAACAATAACAAAAGCAAAGCCAATTTAAAAGCTGCTTCAACTAAGTCGAAGCAATAAATCAAGTTAATAACTCTTTTAATCAAATTTATATTGACTTAAAAAGTGAGCAGAAATTTATGATAACAAATTTCATGCTATATAGGACCATGCTTTTAATTTATAAGAAATGACTAACGATGATAAAAACTACAACCAAACAGTAAACTCCAACTGACGAGGCATTATTCCGAGTGGGACCTTCGCTGTAAACTCTATGCCATGAAAATTACGTTATAAGTACTGTATTCCTAAGAAAAAATAAGCAAAACATCAAAAAAATAAAAAAATAAACAAAAATAAAGGCACAAATAATGAAAAAACATCCAGAGTCCAGTAGCAAGTCATTTTGAGTCCCAGTTGATTTTGTCAGTTGAATCACATTTTGTCCCTCACTTTTGGAGTAACTACAAACAAATTAAACAAAGAAAAAATACAATTCTTAACTGACATACTGTCTAAAAATATATGAAATTTAAGATGTGTATTTTCTGTTATATATTTTGAAAGAAAGACCGAGCGAGCGTGAGAGAAAGATGTAAAGATTCCGTAAGAAAGATCGCGCAATAACTCGTCATAAAATGTCTTTCACTAAGTGTTAGCAAATTCATGCTTTAGCTGGTGTGTGTATTATGGTCTATAACACAAGAAATGTATGTAAACTCCAAGTAATGCAAATAATCAATTGTAAATAGACAAGAAACTACCATGACATGCATGATAACACTAAAATTGTACACAAACATGAACATTAGACATTATACATACAGTACTGTACATTCAAAATGTCAAGAAGCCACCCTGCTATGTCATGAGTGGAAACCTACATTATAGAGACTATCTGGATACAATAACCATTCTGTTAATATCACTCACCATAACTAGTTTTTGTATTACGGTCATCTTATTGGAGGTACGATGCTTTCATACATATACAAAGATAATACAAGTGTTCTATAGCTCTACAAAAGATCTCCAAGCCTTACACTCTTTCAACCTTACTATGAATAAAGAGGAGATGAGTTCAACATAAGGAATACTAGAAACAGACAATACTATGACACCAAATTTTCAAATCAAATGTATGGGATATGAAACCGTGGGGTCAAGCACTCGACCCACAACCCTGCACCAAATGCATTAGCAACATTTATAACCTGTGTCAATTATAAACCAGTCTAGCAAATGAAAAATGCTGAACAATGTTAATTCGAGAACAATAACAAAAGTATATTATAACTTCCTAGAGAAAATTGTTTAAAAAATTCTAAGAGGACCGATGTTGCGATATATCCTCTTAAAGGTAATTATGAAAATATTTGATGCTTTTGTGACTTGAAATCAAGACCATAACCATGATAAATTAGTTCATCTTGCCACCTGGTCCAAAGTAATAAATTAAGCATCAAGTATCAAGTGTACTCATATTTTGCACACTTAACACTTTGACGCGTTAACGACTGAACCTCTCGTCACTCATATTTCTCCCAATTCCTCTCCGACGACGACGCGCTGAGTCACTCATTAAAATATTTGTTAAAAATTTAAATTTTATCAGATCAATCTGGTAGTGGTTTTAAAATGAGCGCCTTTAGATTGTGCACAATTTAGCACCCATATGTCACTTGAGCAGGACACATATTTTTCCCTTGAATGCACCTCAAGAGGTGCATTGAAAAAAATATTTCTATAAAATCCAATTTTTATCCGATCGACTTGGGGATAATTTAAGCATGTTTGCCATTAAATTTTCGTTTTCTCTAATAGTCACATAGCCTATTTGGGAGAACGGAGTTCGCTTGTATCTTCGTGGTAAAACTATTGTAAAATGTTGACCCGACGAGTGTAATCGACGAAGTTCCTTTATTTAGTGCCGGTCAAACGCATCCTTGTGTGACATTTTATACATATGTTCTTCTAGAACATTCTATTGCGAACATATTGGTACCAAATTTAAGTACGTACATCGAAAATTAAGGTCAGGACAGTGAAAAGAATATACACTTTTCAAAAGGTTTTTCGCCCATCTGCCGTCGGGTGTGCCGTAAGAGGTAACACTTCAGCCACTTCCCACACTCTTGCGGGTGGGCCACGATCATGATTCTACATTTATATGCTATGTCCGTGAAGGGAATTTTATTGCGGTCACAGTGATACCAAAATTAACGAAGTAGCACAATTCTGCGATTGACAAACATGAAAAGATCATAAACATTTCAGCGCGGTTTGACGCTCACGGCTAATGATTGCCATAGTTTTTTATTTGGTGCAGGTCTCATGTCAGGTTTGGTGACATTTTACATATATATTCCTCTAGAGCATTCTCTTGCAAACAAATTGATACCAAATTTAAATACATACATGGAATATTAAGGTGAGCAGACTGAAAAGATTATAAACATTTTAGTGTCGCCGCGCGGTCGCCCGAAACGAACGGCAACTCAACCAGATAATATACAGTTAACTCCCCGGCGCGCTAAAGACTATCAATTTTAAAGTTCGATCCAGGCGTGTCATATTATTGTGTGTGTTAACATCCTGTAACAATTTTATTGTTTTTGTCCCTGGGTAGTCCCTTATTTTCTAATTGCCTATGCCTCCAAAGTATATAAAATAGCTATTTTCTATACTTTGGATGCATAATCAATTAAAAAATAACCCTTGCTACCCAGGGCCAACAGTTTTTACATAGTGTAATAGATGTGATCTGTGGACGCGGTTGAAGTCTACACAAATGTTGATTAATAATCAGTAAGCCTAATTTACCACTACTATGATTGCACTAAACTACTATTACATCTTCTTTTGTTACAACTTCAATACTTTTTCTAGTGTTACTAATACACCACTCTCAATCAAGTCTTACTACAATCTCTAACCAATGCTATTACATCTTCCATTGACATCATAAAATATAGATCTCATTTTCATTGTTTTTTATCCATGAATATATTGTATTGTAAATATTATGGCTACCCACTACTTAGAAGAGGTAAAAAAATGTTGACTTTACTGTCAACATTCGGTTTTAACATTCTTAACAACGCATCTCATTCTTTCACATGGGACCTCAAGGAGCACATCACCGAGTACAATTTATACATATTTAGGGGAAGGAAAGATCTGCTCTTCAAGTCTGCCTCATACCGTTTTGGAAACTTTATGCACCATCATTTGCAATATTCTGCAACTGTTGTGTCTGCTTTAAAGATGTGAACTGCAGTTCAGTCCTCATGTCCATTACTTGTACAATGAAGGGGTACAGGTGGTACACAATTTGAACAAAACTGGATTATGTATATAGTCGTACTGCATTCAGAGGCAATGTTATACAGTACATCTAAACAAATTTTACACGGTAGCCTATAATCATGTTATCGAAGAAAACAAATGTGATGCACTAGGCAACCCATCAGTAACAGAATGGAAGATGGAGGAGGACCGAGTTCCAAGCCACCTGGTGGTGGCAATTTGCACTAACAAGTACAAGCTAGTTTCAAGGAAATTTTATTTTGGTTGAACCGTTTGGGGGAGGTGTGTTTGGCAGTTTTGAGGCTTCGAGCTTTGTGAACCCAGAATTGGTCTGTAAAAGATTTGCTGACCTAACTGGATGCTTTCCCAACGAAATGGCAGAGTATCATTTGCTTTCGGCACCTCTGTGGAGGCTCTGATCTCCGGTAGGCCAAACAACTCCAGCAACTGATGTGACTATAGACAATCTCGGAGAGAGAGATATTGGGAGCCACCAAGGGGCTCCCCCCAAAAAAACATAAAGCTCGACCCACTTAAAGTATTTATATTAAATCTGACCAGCCATTGCAGATAAGCGTCATCCCTCGACTAGAGGACAGGATTACTCTAGCACTGGTACAGGTATATGCATTTTGCAAGGTCACAATACACAACCATGTGCAGATTACACTATTCTCAGCTGTGTACTTTGCAGACACATTATTAGACTGTTTTTGTATGTACTGTAAATATAAACACACTACTGAACTGTATGTCTTGGCCAGCTGACAATGTGAGCCTGGAAATATATCTAGGCCTATAATACTTTATACAAAAGGAAAAGAGCAAGATATTACAATTTAGGTGTCAGGAAATTCTCATCAGCTTTTTACCAAGAGTATCATGCGTATATTATTTTTCCCTAGAAAGTGACTGATAAAAATTTAGCATTACAATGCAATAAAGCCGTTACAAAATGTTCTTTTGTCTAATGCACTTGTATATTATCAACTTGCATAGAAAATGAGCCTGTAGTTCTAAATATTAAGGAAGCAGCAAATAAATTAAAAAACACAAATTAGAAAAAGGAGGCAACCAATACTTACTATAAGAAATGGCATCAAAAGGTGAATGATGGTTATTGAGATGGGGTGTAATAGGTCCTGATGAGTACCCATATCCTCCATCGCTGCCTCGGAGATCCCCTCTGAGGTCTCTTCCACTTCCATCAAACTTGAGCCCATCGCTTTTCTGGGGTTTGGGATCAGCAAATACTGGTTTGAAGGTTCGGTCACAGCTTTCAAATGCTTTGGCTGCGTGAGACATTCTGTAAACATTTGTAAAAAAATGGAAACACACACATTAAAGCAAATCTTTTACTTTGGCGATAATTATATTATTATATTAGTAAGTGCATGTGTATTATATACAAGATCCAAGGTACTTGCAATTCTTTTATCTATGCTGGACTATAAATGCAATTTACAGTAGTTATACATAATAGATGCCATCATCATACTACTACTACTCTATTTTCCTCTTTCAAGAGATGGAGAGTAAAGAGTTATCAAAATAAGGCACCAAGCATGGGATGGAGAGCTATATTATGACCAAACCACACACCAGAAAAGCCACGTCTGTGGCAGAGAGAAAAAAATTATGAAGAAACGACGATGTTCGGTCCATCCTGAAAATAGACCATTATCAAGTCTATTTGATAATGGTCCAGGATGATGTTTATGAAAATTCAATTTGTCAGTGCAATTCGAAACAGGAATTGTTACATATTTAGTATAGCAAGTGTTGCTTTTACGTGCAACACACAGCGCCTTTTTTTTTTTTTTTTTTTAAATGCATGTTTTTACCTATCACAGGTGTGGCATCTATATAATAGGTATATAAAAACACACGCATATTCGAATGGAACGTTATGTCAAAATTTCAAAACTATCGGAGATTATAACGTGTGTTGCTCTAACATCCAACAGATGGCGCTGTTTTTCAAAAAAGCATGATTTTACTTGTAACAGGTATATGTATATAGTAGGTATCTAAAAACACGTGCGTATTCGAATGCAACGTTGTGTCAAAATTTCAAAGCAATCAGTAAAGAGGTTTCGGAAATTTCCCTCGCATGAAAAACACATTTAAAAAAAAAGCATGTTTTCCCCGTCACAGACGTAACATCTATATAGTATGTATATTAAAATCTGCTTGCTGGTCCAGGATGAACCTAAACAACATCGTTTCTTCATTTTCTGATGCGTAGTTTGGTCATCAGCCACGTTGCAATTTATCATCTGCATATGGAGAGGCATATGCTTAGAAGATATATTGAAGCAAATAGGAAAAGATTACAAATTCTGCCTATGTATAAAAAACTCAAATTCGTAATATTTTTGGTGAAGATAACCATTAAAAAATGACACTTGATTGCTGTATTTTTTTACGAATGATTCTTTGTTACTCATGGAAACCCCTCTTCTATTGGGAAGAGTTTGTGAAACCATCTCAAGACATTTCAGATTCATCGATATTGAAGACTTGTACAAATAAAAATTTTCCTGAAAGTATTCCACATCTTAACACTATGTTTGTTAATAACAAATGAGACAGTTGCCAATTACAAGCATAAATCAGCTAGAATGTGTGGAAAGAGTGAAAACCTCAGTAAATATGATTAAATATTTAGACAACTGTAATCAAATAATGGTTTTAAACTATGGCTCAAGCAATCTTCTGTGGCCATAACAAGGTATTTAGCTGAAATAAAAAATATTAGAAAGGGTGATATAGATATGAAACAAAAGCAGAGGCTCAATAAAGAACCTCTCCACTTTTCTAGATTCAATAATAATTATAATGTATTAACTAGTTACTGATTACCCATGTTTACCTGTTTACAAGGTAATTCTTCATATCTACAACCATCAAATGGCCTTGTATCCAGCTACAAGTGGGTTTTTAAATGGCCTTGTATCCAGCTATAAGTGGGTTTTTAAATGGCCTTGTATCCAGCTATAAGTGGCTTTTTTAATGCATGCCCCCCCCCTCCTCCTGGTAAGACCAAACTATTTAAACCCCTTGTCAGTAGTGCTTTTAATTCCTTCTACAGTATTTGAAAACTAAATATTTTGAACAACTAATTGCTCAAGTCCAGCATGTTAATTATTTTAACTTGTAAATGTACGCAACAATGTCCTTTTTCCTCAATAATAAATTAATTATCATTGAGCAATGAACAAAACATATACAATTATAGGATTTTCACATGTGCATCTTATCAGGTTATACTTCCACAAAAAACTATAAACTCAGTAGTGTAGTGTATTAGTTACTTTTTTTTCCAATGCAACAGTGAGAATGGGACACATTACCTGTGATATTTGACATAAGCAAAGCCCTTGCTGTCTCTTGTATTACGATCACGCACTATGGAGACGTAATCAATGTCACCAAACTGGACAAAATGCTCCCTTAAATCAGATTCAGAAAGAGACTTGGGAACTACAACAAATAGACGAAGGAGTCTTTCTTCTTCATTCATGTCGCGTCGCGAACCTTGGTCACGGCTGAAATAGAATTAAAAACATGGACTTTATCGGGTAGCAACCTCAATTCTTAAATGCATCTCAATACTACAGAAACCTGCTATTGTACTATGAAAGCATTAAGGAGTAAAATGTTGAATATTTACAAAACCTTTAAATGCCTTTAAATCCAAACAAATTGTAATACAGTATTTCACTTTCCTACAATTTTAGATAGGTGACTAGGACATTCCCAGCCCAATATTTAAGTTATTCTGGTACTTTTAGGTTTTAATTCAAGGGGACAAAAAAAAATTGGAAAAAACAACTATAATCACACCACAAAGCTCTCTCTCAACACAAAGTGCATTCTTCTTATATTTGGTTTCAAGAATTCTTACCAATTTGTTCTTGAATATGTTTTTACAAACTTGTACAAGCTTATCAAATACTTTTTAATAATATATTATGGTCTTATGGTCTGTATTATGGTCTATAAGATTTGGGAATGTCCAGAACCTTGAGCTCTCCTCACTTCCTTTTTTCTTATTTCTGGAATTATTTCAAGGCATTCCTATGGATTTTTTTTTATTACCGTATTGTCTCAAAATAAAACAGCATGTAGCCTTTCCCCAGTTTCTGTATCCACTATGCAACCACCCTTAGAGTTCACTTAAACTTACAATAATAATTACTATCATTAAAAGAATGGGTTGACATGTAGTGAATGAAGCTTTGATGGCTAATAAATGAATAGATAAACTGCTTAGTTAGTGACCACCCAGATACAGTCAATGAAATGATTCATTCTACAGATTATTGATCAAATCTCTAGCAAACACTATATTAAAATAAAAAATATTTTAAAGTAAAATGAAGCATAAATAATGAATACAATAATAACATGGGCAATATGACATTACTTTTAGTTTATAATATAATAAAAGGAAACAAGTAACAATTAATGATTAGTGTACACTATACTATTATTGTATCAATGTGTACAAAGTTAAAATTTGTGTATACTGTATTGGCAGGTGCAGGAAGTTATAAATAAGAGAATAGTTGTGCAGGTGTGAGTGTGTGTGTGTACACACACCTGTGCAACTAGTATTTTCTTACTGTAAATAATGTGTGTATTCATGGACCATTACTTCTCCAGATATTGGTGTAATATATGAAATAAACCCAGACAAAACAATATATTACAGTACTGTAATATTGTATCCATTACATGAGAAAATATCTTTCAGTACAGGCCAGAGCTTAGCTCAGTGAATGTGTTATGTTAATCTGATATCAAGATTATCTCCTTAACCCTTTGGCTCCCATTGTTTGGTAGGAATCAAGTGTCACTCTTTGGTGGTACCTGAACACTAAGTGTCCAGGAAACCAAAAATTATTTAAATCAAGTTTACTGAGGAATGTATGGTATGAATCAAAAGAGAAGATTATGTTATATAAAATTGCACTAGAATGGACACAACACACACGCCTATATATTAACTAGAAATTAGTGTTGGACACTGGTTCTGGTATCTAGATGAAGCTACCTGTTACCATTTGTATGGGATTTTGCCCATATAACCATGTATACTGTATTATGGTCTATATCATACAACAAATTGGTTCTAATACTACTAGGTAATATTCCTAGAATAACATACTTGGTTCCCAGATAATCGGCACCACATTGTCTGGACATTAGCACCAGGTACCCTAATGTTTGGCAACATTTTTTAACTACTACTACATTCATATCTGATATTGCTGGACATGATAGCAGGGTGTTAGTATTCTTTAGTGGTATTTTCCGTTTTTCTCCCCTTCTCCCTGCATCTGGACATCAATGTTCATTAGTACATACCATGGGGAACTACCAACCATTAAGGTCTGATCAAATATGTGAAGTGGCATTGGATGATTGTCAAACATGCATGTGCAAGTGGCACTTTCAATTAATGTGGAGTTCAGATTCCGGACATCGGCCAGTTTGGTGCCAGCATCCAGATGTATTATTTTATTTCCTATGATGCATTTGTCTAGGTGTCTACCAGTCTGCACCTGGAATACCCTATCAGAAACATCACGGTCAAGGGGCAGTACCTAGAACAGTCGACAATGACATACTCTCACGAATGGTGAACACAAATGCAGATTCAATCAGAGAACACTGAATAAACATCAGAGGTCCGCGGTTGTTCAACGTCCTCCCAGCAAGCATAAGAAATATTGCCAGAACAACCGTGGACATCTTCAAGAGGAAACTAGATTTATTCCTCCAAGGAGTGCTGGACCAACCGGGCTGTGGTGGGTATGTGGGCCTGCGGGCCGCTCCAAGCAACAGCCTAGTGGACCAAACTCTCACAAGTCAAGCCTGGCCTCGGACCGGGCTTGGGGAGTAGAAGAACTCCCAGAACCCCATCAACCAGGTATTCAAATGCAGAAGTCAACAACAGGATCACCAAGGCCAGCGCTGCCTTTGGAAGATTCTGTGAGGATGTCTGGGAGCAGAGGTGCCTTAGCTTTACCACCAAACTGAAGGTCTACATGCAGTGGTACTCACCACCCTCCTCTACTCAAGTATGACCTGGACTGTCTCCAGCAGACATGCCAAACTCAATCACTTTCATTTGAGCTGTCTCGGCAGTCCTCCACATCAGGTGGCAGGACAAAATCCCAGACACGGAGGTCCTGGAAAGGGCCGGTATTCCCAGTGTCAACACCCTCCTACAGAAACCACACATGTCAGAATGCGTGACAGCTGATTGCCAAAACAGCTTTGGCAATCGACCAAAATTTTGGCAATCGGCCAAAAAAAAAATCTGTCCTACTACTGAGGGCACGCCTTCAGTAGTAGGACAGAAAAAAAAAGATTCATGTACTGCCTCAAAGTGACCCTCAAAGACCTGGACATCAACCCCAGAACCTGGGTGTCACTTACTCAAGACCGTCCAATTTGACTAAGCAAAGTCACCACAGGGGCCCCGTACAGTAAAAAAAAAAAAAAAAATAGATGGACTATGGAGGCCCAGGGGCCTGCACTGCGTACTAAGCTAGTGTAACACTGTAAAAGTGTTTGGTTTAGTTTAATACATAGAGTACATGAGTCACAGACAGGGATTAGAGAAGGCACCAGTTTGTCCACCGGAAAGTCACACCTCTAAAAGTTAATGACCCCAAGTGACCTGAGGTCAGATCATGTGAATTTCACCTTACGTCTACTAATCTTATAATTGGAGCCTGGTAGCCTTCAAACATGCCGACGTTTAAGGAGTGGCTTGGTAGAGAGCCGGAGGCTATCTATTTGTGGGCGGAGTTAGCTACTAGGATCCCCAATATATACTCGGAGAGTTATCGATTCGAGAGCATTAACGACAGAGAAGAACGGCAGTCAGCAGATCAGAGGAGACGGCCCTGGCAGGGGGGCTGTCAGCCGGCAGGGCGAGACAGTCTCTGTCAACTATAGACCCCCCCCTCTATCCAGCTATAGGCATACACTCGGTGAGTTGAACAGTAAGGTGACTTGGTCGTGTTTTACAAGTGTTGTGTGATGATCAGGGGCAGTCAGTTGTAGTGTTCTCAGATTCTTGGAGGATGACTCACTTTACATATATATATCTTGAACATTGCTTAAATTTTTGATACTTAGTATGTGAAATATAATATAAAATTGAATTTATTTTTTAAATGGCCTTTAACTGTGTCCCCTATGTTTTGGAGTTAATACATGATAAAGATGGGACAGATTAATAATGACCTCTTGATAACATCTTTTGAGAATTTTGTGATACAGACAAGTTCCATTCCTTGTCTTGTATGTGATGATCTAGAATGGATGGTGGCAGCATTTCGTCTTCTACTATCTACTCTTCTACTTCTACCTATCTACACCTCTCCCTCCACCCCTCTCTAAACTCTCACTTTCAACTAATGACCCTCCTCGCTCCTCCCCCTCCCTACCTCTCACCCCAAACCCTCACTAATTACTTCACTATTCATTTCTTTCCTTTCGTTTTCTCTTGTACGTTTGTGGCAATGATTCCGTATTCTAGAGTTCTCTCTAGAGTTTCGGGTAGCTGATCCAGTTACGACGCCTTGTAGTCTTAGCACCTAGGTAGGCAAATACCTAGGTTACAAGGTGTTGAACGAGAGAGGTTGCCTTAGGAACTCTGGGAGTGCTCTAGAATAGTTAGCTAACTGAGGACGGGATAACGGACTAGAGAGAGCTGTTTCCCCCGGCCTCGGGGGAAACAGCGACCTCAATGGGAAAACAGCGGCCTCAATGGAAAACAGTGCATGGAGCAACCCTCTTGGAGAATGACAATGAAGTGTGTGTGAAGAACTCGACACACAGTTCCAGGTCTACACGAGAACCAGATTGGTGTCCAAGGAGAAGTGATAGCATAAGACCAGAAACAACACTAAAATAAATTGAAGTTAATGAAGAGATAAAAAGAAATTTAGAGGAACTGGATGTAACAAAAGCAGTAGGACCACCCCTAATATTACCATGGTTACTGTAAAAAACTGCAGGGATCTTGTATTACCCATTAAATATAGTGCTCAACATTACACTAGAGACGACAGAGCTACTGGAAATATGAAAAATACAAATGTAGTTCCAATATGCAAGAAAGGGGACAGACATGAAGCACTGAACTATAAACTAGTGTCATTAACATGCATTTCGTGCAAATTGCTGGAAAAAGTCATCAGGAAAAGGATTGTAAAACATTTCGGAAAGAATAAATTTAGTAAGAGGCACAACACGGCTTCAGAAAGGGAAAATCATGCTTAAGAAACTTGATAAAATTCTATGACAGGGTCACCAAAATAAGACAACAGAAGAAAGGATGGGCAGACTGCATCTTTCTAGATAGCCAGAAAGCTTTTGATATAATTCCTAACAAAAAACTAATACATAAGATGGAGACAAGCAGAGATAACAGGAAAGGCACTGGATTGGGTATGGAAGTATTTGTGGACTGGAAACAAAGGGTCATGGTCAGAGGGGATAAGTCAGGCTGGAGAAGAGAGTAGTGTTCCACAGAGTTGTGTCCTAGGCCCATTACTCTTTCTAATTTTTGCAAATGACTTCCCCAGAGGAAGTGAGGGTGTACACGTCGATGTTTGCAGATTGACATGCTGCAAATTTTATGAGATTAGGAACTGAAGAGGACTGTAGGATGCAACAAGAAAACCTTGACAAACTTCAGGAATGGACATGTCTGGTGAAATTCAATTCAAGTTTAGAATAATACAAATGTGTAGGGGAGATAGGAGACCTGCATTTAACAACACCATAAATGTGAATGCAATTACAGTACTAGAAACAATAAGAGAAAAAGACTTGAGAGTAGACATAATCACAACACTAACACCACGAAGCTCAACACCAGACGTTAACAAGATTACATCAGTAGCAGTCCATAGTCCTGCCTATGTGAGACCATTACTCGAGTATGAAGCACCAGCATAGAACCCAAGTAGTTTCAAAGCGTTATATGACAGAGTGCAGGGAAGACGGGACACCACGAGCGTAGCTCTCATCCTGTAACTACACTTAGGTAATTACACCTTGTGATGCACAAAAAGAAACTTCAAGAAACTTCAGAGCTTTGCAATTATATTAGTACCAGAATTAAGAGGTCTCGCTATGATGACAGATTGAGGGAGCACACTCCTCACAACCTTAAAAAGGAGAAGATATGGGATATGATCACTATATACAAGATTTTGAGAGGAATGGACAAAGTGGACAAAAGAAGCTTATTTATATTAACAGGAGTTAGGGCAAGTGAGATACTAATGGAAGCTAGACATGCAAGAAGTTTCTATTCCCTGTACAAGTGGTTGGCAAGTGGAATGCACTAAAGGGTGTTGGTTATTGAAGCCAATTCCACTGACAATAAGAAAAAATAAGAAAACAGTAATGCTGAGAGGTAATTAGCACACCAGGTATAAACTACTTCAAAACAAGGCACAGTTTTAGATATAATTCCCTCCCACCCCCAGAGATAAGCACACTACCAATACATCCACAGCACAACCCCTTCATGCATGTTGTCTTATTACCTACCCAATTTACCAGTAGAAGTGGTAGGGAAATTCATTTAAAGCACATTATTTACCAGTAAACCTTCCAGCTATCATCAAAAACACACTTAGCATATACAGTACTGTATACACATACACATCCCAACCATACTAATGTTATGTAACATTAATATAGCCTTATTTGAATGCTCTTAAAACTCAATAAAGCTATTACTAAAAAGTTGAGATACAATATATGAAAGATGTTTATTTAATAAAGATGTTAAGTACCAGTCTCTAACAAGCCAATAAAATTTTTTAGTTTTACACTCGAATAAAACTTGCTTGTATTTTAAAACTACCTATGGACACATTGTTCCATCACAATACCATATAAATCATACTTTTATAAATTCAGTACCAATCGCAAATTCGGAATCTTTTAAATTATCAACCAGTTTTGCTCACTGAACTACAAGGAAAATATTATTCAGATGGATGAATAAAGCAAAGTAAGTTCTCTGATTGGGAGGGCATTTACCAGTTCATGCAAATTTAATAGGCCAATAAAAAAGCTTCATGCATGCTATATAAATAGTAGTTACCCGAATTTCAAGCAATCATCACATTACAAACCTACTGTCTAACAATTTTTGGAGATAATTAAATTACAATAGGCAATTCAGTGAACAGTAAATATACAGTATACGATATATGACTAAAAATTAAATTACCTACAAAGCCCTATGCCCAGCATGCCTGTCTCTGCTAAGCCCTATGCCCAGCATGCCTGCCTCGGCAAAGCCCTATGCCCAGCATGCCTGCCTCGGCAAAGCCCTACGCCCAGCATGCCTGCCTCCGCTAAGCCCTACGCCCTGCATGCCTGCCTCGACAAAGCCCTATGCCCAGCATGCCTGCCTTGGCAAAGCCCTACGCCCAGCATGCCTGCCTTGGCAAAGCCCTACGCCCAGCATGCCTGGCTCTGCTAAGCCCTACGCCCAGCATGCCTGCCTCCACTAAGCCTTACGCCCAGTATGCTTGCCTCAGCTAAACCTTACGCCCACCATGCCTGCCTCCGCTAAGCCTTACACCCAGCATGCCTGCCTCCGCTAAGCCCTACACCCAGCATGCCTGCCTCCACTAAGCCCTACACCCAGCATGCCTGCCTCAGCTAAGCCTTACACCCAGTATGCCTGCTTCACCAAAGCCTACACCCAGCATATCAACATCACAAAAGCACACACCCAGCAAGTCTGCCTCATCCAAGCATATATCCAGCTAACTTTTGCCAAAATATCAATTACAGCCTTAACTGTGTACCCTTTGAGTGTATGAATGGTTTGCTATTCTTTATTCACCTCAGTGCCCTAATAATCCCTTTTTCAAATACAGTATTAAAACATCACTTGGCAAAGACTTTTTTATAGTGTTTTACAGCGTATATGACACCTTGATCTGTAATCTGGATTAGAAAAGTGGTATGGGTGGTAAAGCTATACATGTTATAGTTCCATCAGCATATTAAAAAATCATTGATATTAGAGTGATCAGGGGCATTACCTAAGAGGAACAATGTTTGAATCTCAAACCACATTCCAATTTTTTAGTTTACATCATATAATCTTATTTGGGCGAATATTATTGTGAAACCATATAAAAATAACCACCCTTATTACCAAAGAATTCTTTGAACGATAGTAGGCTACAGGAAGATTGTGCATGAAATTGTTTAATTAAGGATTCATATATCTTGCCTACAATTTCACATTTATGTCTGTGAATGCCAACATCATTAGCACAAACTATGGCTGTAATTGTTTCTTTGCTAATTCTATGACCCAGCACATGTTCCTCTAGCCTACTAGCCAGTCTTTGTTGGTAAACATTTCCCATTAAATCTACTCTACCTACCTTACCTACCTTGAGTTGGATCCAGGGATTAGTGTCCCCGTGGCCCAGTCTCTAACCAGGCCTCCTGCATGACGGTCTTGTCGACCAGAGATCTTCCTAGAACAAATGGTATGCCTATTCTTAAATCTACGTGAAATAAACTGGGGAAAAAATAAAAGCCCTGAGGCTTGGCACATGGAGCAAACATGACAATCTCATTCCTTCAGACTCAAAGTACTGCACAGTAGGACATAGGTCACATTAAAACAACACTGTACAGTACAGGAATTAATTTCTAATTTTTTTTAATAATAATACTTATTTAAGGTGAAATATAATTAAAAAAAAACAAAAAATTTGACATTCCGACTCAATCCAACTTTCCCAATGTGAACCCACTTATTTCATTCTCAGTTTTCCAGCTCCAATTTGAATAACTGAGAAATACGTTGATCCAATTATAGCCAGATATTAGATATCCATATAATTTTGGGCAGATATTGGGGGTTGCACTGTACTGTATAGTGTATTGTACATTAAATGTGTGTTTTGGTATAAACTACAGTAAACAGGCTATCTGAGAGATGAACACGTTGACTCCATGTGCACTGACCTATATACCCTTTCCCTTTCATTACACCGCAAGGCAATCATCCATACCCTGATTAAAAAAAATAATAATATTACTTTCTCTGATTTTGACTAGAAATTATATCTAGTTGCAGCATTAGTCATACAAAAGCAGGCAAGAAGAAAACTAAGATGCAAACTATTGATGAAAAGAAAAAGGATTGTCAAACCTCACAATGGGTATATCGTGGCAAGCATTGGAATGAATTTGGCACGTGTGTGCCATTTCAAATACTGTTTAAGACAACATAAGGGCAACATATTAAAGTTGCTGTTAAGCAGGAATTTGAAGAGTTTAATACACACAGATATTAAAGTATTTAAATGCAGCTGTGTAAGTAGTTTACTCCTGTAAACATGGGAATTGATGGGGAAACAGATTATGGTTGCTGCCAAACAGCTTGCCAGTAACTTAGATATTAGAGTTGAGAGCTAACTTAGATATTAGAGTTGAGAGCTTTCCAAGGCTGGATTAATAGATTTGATAAGAGCTATGCATTAGTTTCAGAGTGATTTTGGCTAAAGCAAATATAGATATTGTGGATCCACTTGAAAACATATTTAATAAAATAGTTAAACATTTTCTCGATTTATACTCTGAGCAAACTGGATTCTGATGGAGGTTTACTAAGCATGACTGGCTAGCAGACTAGAGAAATGTGTGCCAAGAATTCAAATTAGAAAGGAACTTCAGTCTTGGTTTGTGCTAATGTAAATGGCAACACTGGATGAAGTGAAGAAATTGTAGGCAAAGCTGGAAAAACTATAGCATTACAAAATTTCATGCACAACCACATTACAGCCTTTATCATTCAAATAACGTTTAGTTCATAAGGGATTTTTTTTTTTTACAGTTCACAATAATTTGTGCAAAGTAATAGTATATAAAAAGAACATCAGATGAAACATAGGGAATGCAGTCACATGAGGTTCAAGCACTGTTGCTTTTAGATAATGCACCTGCTCACTCAGATATTAATAATCTGAAATCAGCTGATCGAACTCTTAACTTATATGGCTTCACCACCGAATGCCACCTCAGTTATCCAATCTATGGTCAAAATATCATTATATACATTAAAATAACAATATAAAATATCTGTATATTGGTGATATTTTAGTAACTGAATCAAATGAGGAGGATAAGGACAATTGAACAGGTGACAGCAACCCTTTAAAAACATGGGGTTTGTAATTTACAAGTTGGTAAATTGGAAATAAGTATAGGAGACAACTTTAAAGTGAGCACGGAATAAACATTCAAGACTTCAAGAAAGGCTGGTGAGGAGAGAGACGGAGTATACTACAGTATTTAGGAGAATGATTAGTGCGTGTTTCAGTTATGTTATTACATATTAACAGAAGAAACAGTTTAAACCGGATGTAGGTACGTGAAGGCTGCGTGTGTTGTGGGGCCAAAGAAAACCTAAAAAAACATGTTTAATAAAAATTCACCTACTAGATCTCAGTTAAGAAGCCAATGATGAGGAACTTGCAAATATGTATCCCTACTTAAGGTGCACAAAAGATACTCAGGGCAGCTAGACTTTATTAATTTGTGGTGACAGCTCATTGTGTTAGCCAGACATGAGCCAGTCATGTCCTCCTGGTGTACATTGCAATATCTTAAGAGGTCTCAGTTTTCTAATTGGTCTCTAATCAGAACACAAAAATAATATAACTTACTGGAATCAAACATAGGGTAAAGCCGCCTATCTCTGGACATCAGTAGAAAAAATAAAATAAAACCTACAGTACCAGAACCAGTGCATAGAACAAAATCACAAAAACTAAGACTTCGAATACAGTATACTAAAAAATATTGAAATTAAGTTATCTAATAGAAATCTGTTAGAATAAATATTATAACTAATTTTGTGCATGATTCAGTGCATGGTTCATCAAACCATGCACTGGTTTGATGATCAAAGGAGTAAGTCATCAAACAGGGTCAATGGGTTTCTAGTCTTCTAATTCGTGGGAAGAAGCAAAAATCACAAATAATATGAAACCAAGACCTTGCTATGATGGCCTGTAATGTCAGATGAACCACTGTGTGTTAGGATACCTAGCACTTGTCTGCGACACCACAAATGCTGACTTCTGGACACCTGAGAAGCAAGTACTCTATGTCAATTCTAAGTGTTGTCTAATGGAATGGCAAAAAGAGGTGTAATATAGACCACAAGATGTGGTTATTTTGGACAATTTTTGTTATACATGGGATGATATTTCTTGCTATTTGGAGCACTAGAATGTCTGCAGTCTTGGATGCACAACAAAATTCCAGATGCCTCCTTTTTTAATATTTCCATGGGGTACTGCATACACAGAAAATTCCAGCATTATTTTAATAGCTCATACATATCTACTTTTCATTAATATAGGCTTTGTAATAAATTTAATTTTCAGTCCACCAACAATGTCAATAACTCAGTGCTGTGTCCAGAGAATGGTGACTTTACCCTATTTGCAGAAGTTGTATGATAAACCCAAATAAAAAATTAGGGATGCCAAACAACTACAGAAAACCTTCTAGTGTAACAGCTAATAAGAAATGCATCCAAAACAAATGTAGAGATCTTTAAGAAACATCAAGAAGGTCCTGTAGAAGATAAACCAGCCATGGGGCCAACATAATAGAAAAACTATAAACTGACCACAGGCAAGATGAAGTTTTCATTATATTACAACTATTTCCTCCCCCACCCCTTCAAGAACTTGTCAACATCTCCAAAAAAGTTAACAAAGCTGTTAAGAAAGTAGTTTTCCAGTAGATGATAAAACAGATAGCAGGTGAAAACACCAAGTTTATATAGAACAAGGAACATGACCCCCCCAAAGTAATTCTTACCAATTTCCGAACAATCTGATGAACTGTACAGTATTTAATGACAACTAGTCTTACATTTATGTCTAACTCACTGATAAATATTCTTTTTATGGTAACATAAGAAAATGCAGGAAAGATCCAGTATACTAAAAAATCCTTAAATAATTCCTACCCATGCATAATAAAAGTTGTAAATGTAAAAAATTACACAAACCAAGAATATTTATTACCTATGTGCAATGAGAACCTTGAGGGGTCTTGGATGACCTCCAATACAACGGCCATTCATCTCTTCCATAGCAAGTGCCGCTTCAGAGGTTTTGGAGAATTTTATGTATGTAACACCTGCAGAAAAAAATATAAATATATACTTAATACTATATGTTAAAAAAACATGCATACTGTATTTGTTAAATTACCATACTAAAGTGAGAAAAAAAGCCTTGTGTAGCCCGTGCCAACTTTACTCAAAGTTTTGTAACGAGTTACCACATTTCTCAAGAATGGGAAAGTCAATGCCCCCAACTAAATGAGTAAAAAGTGTCATGAGCAACATAGGGCCTTTTTTTAGTCAACACTGTCCACAGTTTTTGGGAAATTCCTTATTGGCCAAGATGGTGGCCAATAAACCTCCATGATCAAGTAACCTGACTACAGCTACCCTACCCTCCACCACCATCAATACAATTAAAAATGCACTGGGTACAACAAGGCTTTTTTAACTGTATTGGTAGTGATGGAGGGTAGGGTGGCTGTGGTCAGGTTACTTTATCAAGCAGGTTACTTGATCAGCTAGCAGGCCTAGTCAGAGACCAGGCCACAAGGACAGTGATTCCTGGAACCAACAGCAGGTAGACAACAGATAGGCTGTGGTGCTGGTCATTGTTTAGAGGGATTGTGATTTTAAGACTCCTCTTATTGATAATGCACCAGAATATGGTGCATTCATTTTAGACATCAAAACTATGGTATGTTTAGTAGTAGTAGTAACAACAATAATAATAGTTTATTTAGGAAAAAGTACATACAAACAAAATGAGTCATAAGCAGAATGGATTTCTAGATAGAACTAGTATATACTATGCCTCTAATACACAGCATTTTGGGCAAAGTCTCTGCGCTTCCCACCACCCTAACCCAGCCCATGGATCAGAATGTCAAAAAGCCTTTTACCCAAGCTGACTTTTTTTCTTTTTATCTAGACCAGGGGCCAGATTCACAAAGCAGTTACGCAAGCACTTACGAACCTGTACACCGTTTCTCAATCTTTGGCAGCTTTGTTTACAATTATTAAACAATTAATGAGCTCCAAAGCACCAGGAGGCTGTTAATAACAATAACAACAGTTGATTGGGACGTTTTTATGCTTGTAAACTGTTTAATAAATGTAACTAAAGAAGTCAAAGATTGAGACAGACGTAAACATTCATAAGTACTTGCATAACCGTTTCGTGAATCTGTCCCCAGGGGTTTCCGACCGAGGGAGAAATGGAGGAAAGAGGCAAAATGGTTCATTTCTGAATTATTTTCCAAGTCATATTTCTTTCAAACTATTTCTTGAGATGATTTCGGGGCTTAGCATCCCCGCGGCCCCGTCCTTGACCAGGCCTCCTTTTTGTTACCCTAATTTAACATAAATTTGTATGTTATTAGTCACTGTGACGATATTGATGCCATCTGTGGAGCACACCAAACCCCATTTTCTGTTCCCTGGTGGAAGGCTGTTACTGTGTTTGAACTCTGTATAGTTTGTCTTACTAATCACATTTTAGTATGCAGAAGTGACGTGGGTGGTATCCGAGTCGTCAGGAATCAGTTCACCCAGGGCAGTCCAGAATCAAGACGTGTTCCAGTGGGACATGGCAAAAAAATCAACATGTCCAAAGGTAAGCCAACCAGACAACATGTCCAAAGGTAAGCCAACCAGACAACATGTCCAAAGGTAAGCCAACCAGACAACATGTCCAAAGGTAAGCCAACCAGACAACATGTCCAAAGGTAAGCCAACCAGACAACATGTCCAAAGGTAAGCCAATCAGACAACATGGCCAAAGGTAAGCCAATCAGATAACATGGCCAAAGGTAAGCTGTTACGAACCCGGATCCAGCGTCCGAGCACGGAGCAGTGACGACCGCGCCATCTGTGGGTCAGCTCCCGAAACCCCCTCCAAACGGACGACGACACCTGGTGAGGACGACATGTACTGGCCACAAGGGCCAGTTTCCAGTCCTGTGCAGCTCACAACACAGCCGCTCCTGACCTCTGGTGAGGTGGTGCTCCGTCGACAGCGCCATCTATGGAGTGGATACGTCAGGCGTTTGTGCCTGAGCCCTTAAGTGAGGTGTTTTAGTGTGTCCCAGTTATTGATGACGTGTCTGCTTACAGAGTCGACCTGGGACTGCTGTGATGGAAGTTGGGTCAGTCTCGTAGCCTGGTGGATAGCGCGCAGAACTCGTAATTCTGTGGCGCGGGTTCGATTCCCGCACGAGGCAGAAACAAATGGGCAAAGTTTCTTTCACCCTGAATGCCCCTGTTACCTAGCAGTAAATAGGTACCTTGGGGTTAGTCAGCTGTCACAGGCTGCTTCCTGGGGGTGGAGGCCTGGTCGAGGACCGGGCCGCGGGGACACTAAAGCCCCGAAATCATCTCAAGATAACCTCAAGATATGCCAAATATCCAGGACAAGAGGTGCTTCACACAGGTCACACAGTCTACCCAAGGCAGCCGTCCCCATACCTTGTGCTTTGCTGTAGCAGCTGTGAGTCGCCTCCCGGAAGAACACTGTGGTGTTACCCTGCCAGTGGAGTGGCAGTAGAAGGATTGTCTTACCCGGGACCGACTGCTGGAGACGATTATCCACTAGGGTATTGAGGACAGGAGAGTGATATGTGGTATCACACGAGGCTCCTGACTAGGGCGCTACCCTAGTATCGCTCGTGTCAGGAGCCTCGTGTGATACCACATATCACTCTCCTGTCCTCAATACCCCAGTGGATAATCGTCTCCAGCAGTCGGTCCCGGGTAAGACAATCCTTCTACTGCCACTCCACTGGCAGGGTAACACCACAGTGTTCTTCCGGGAGGCGACTCACAGCTGCTACAGCAAAGCACAAGGTATGGGGACGGCTGCCTTGGGTAGACTGACCCAACTTCCATCACAGCAGTCCCAGGTCGACTCTGTAAGCAGACACGTCATCAATAACTGGGACACACTAAAACACCTCACTTACGAGCTCAGGCACAAACGCCTGACGTATCCACTCCATAGATGGTGCTGTCGTCGGAGCACCACAATCAGACATGACCAAAGGTAAGCCAGACAACATGGCCAATGGTAAGCCAACCAGACAACATGGCCAATAGTAAGCCAACCAGACAACATGGCCAATGGTAAGCCAACCAGACAACATGGCCAATGGTAAGCTAACCAGACATGGCCAAAGGTAAGCCTGACCAGTTGCATACCCAGAGCCCAAACAAGTTGTGGACCCACAGGCCTACCAAACAAACACGTTCTCCCAATACCCTCATCTGCCCACCTAGCCCTAGCAAACAAACAAATGCCCAGGGTCCTAACAAACCCTTAGAACCCTAGCAAACAAACCCCCTGGGTGTATAATGTGAGTTTACCCAAAAACAACCCCCCCCTCCCCATGAGCCCTAGCAACCCCCCCAGAGCCCTAGCAAACAACCCCCCCCCACAGAGCCCTAGTAAACAAACCCTATGAACCCCTGAGCCCCTAGCAAACAAATACCCAGAGACCAACCAGCATCCCCCCCCCACCCCGAGCCCAACCAGCCACTCACTCCAGGAGCCCGACCACCCACACTCCTCTCCAGGAGCCCGACCACCCACACCCCCTCTGGGAGCCCAACCAGTCTCCCCCCCCCTCCCCTGGGAACCTGACAAGCCACACCCCCCCTTCCCCTGCAGCCCAACCAGCCACACACCCAAAGCCCAACCAGTTGTGTAATGGAATAAGATGACAATAAGACCTTGAATTGCATATATAGTAAATATATTATTAAAAATCTTTGGTCTAGATAGCAAAATACTATTACCCTATTCTATTTGAGGGGTTACAGCATATAAGTCAGCTAGAATCCTCATCTTTGTCAAATTTGGCATCTTACAAGTTGAATTGTTGACTTCTTATAGCAGTCAAAATGATTGAAAACACTGCCAAAGACAGCTTAATTATCTCAAGATTTCCTCCCTTTTCATTACCGGCTCTAAATATCTTGCAATCAAATTAATTATAATGTCCTTGTTGCTGAAGCCATGTAGATGTTTTTATATGCATAGTTAATAAATGGGTCAGGATCAAACTGAGGTAGATCCCAGCATATTGGGTATAATACAAAGGATGCCCTTGTCAAACTTGCAGTAAATGAATAATGGTGAACAGTTGTGAACACTATCTAGCACACAAGAACAAGAGCCCAAAAAATACTGTACTAAAACACACACATGACATGTGGGGACAAATGTGTCGCTTATGACAATTTTGTTTAAATATTACACATTTGGCATTCACCTTAAATACATAAATTATATATATATAGGTGTAACTTATATACTAAATAGATAATGTGAATTTACCCAAAAACTTGCCAGTCTAGTACTTTACAAGTTCAATCATTTTTGTAAACATTCATGTGTGTTTTTCTTGCGCTAGAGTACACATTGTTTTTATGAAGCCCATATTATGCCTATCACAACTTAACTGAATAACTATATGCCTGACAAGTAGAAATTTTGTTGCTGTTAACAGCATTATATTCTATTGTGGCTTTAATATTGAGTATACGAAAATGCACAACTTTCATGTCCGAAATGGTACAAATGTGTAAGGTTGCCGTCTCCTGTACCAACTGACCTCTACCCAATGTCGTAAGTGTCATAAGAGACACTTAAGACATTGTGTCTTAGCGTCAAGAGACACTTGACTTAGTGTCGTCAAGACACTACTGCAATGTCTCAACACTCAGGGATCAAGCGACTGCAACGGCCCAGGGCTAACTACTTGAGTTCCGTCACAATCCGTCTTCAGATGTCTCAAGACGGCATCAAGAAATATTGAAGACGAAGTTATGATCGTTCCCAACGGAGCCTGATAAACGTTATTAATCGATACTAAGGGGTTAGATTAATACTTTAGAGGGGGTGTGTGTAAGGGAGGGTAGCGTGGCCGTGGGGCCGGAACAAGAGGCGGTGGGGGGATCGATCCTGGGGACCCCAAGCGTGGGTTGTGACAAGACGCCACTCAGCCACCTCCCCCCTTCCTCATATTCACTCCTCTCCCTTACTACACCTTAATAAATAACCACAACCCACGCTAAATTAACCTTTGGCGGTTATTCCAGTGACTTACCTTTGGGTTCATCGGTGTTTCTGTCCTTCACTACCCATATTTCCTCGATGGTGCCGTGCTTAGAGAAACTTTCACGGAAATCCTCTTCAGTGATGGACTTTCCACACACAATAAACAATCGTGAATGAGGAGGATCGTCATATTTTGATTCTTTGCCATATTTGCCACCGTCTGAACCATGAAAATTATCCCTAGACTCGTAGCGACGCGAGAGCTTGTCTGTTGACGCCATCTTTTCCTGAACAACTCCCAACCTCGGGCGAAATTCACATCGGTCTCCCTCTCAATATATAGACGAAAGAAAACGAGCGACATTGCAACCGAGGCCAACAAAAGAGCATCAGACTATTTTCATTTTAGGTGCTTTGTATTTTCCCAATATCTTTAACTTACTCCTAATGCTTTCTGCCACACGAAATAAGTTCCAGTCTAGCTATTTGTTGAGCTTATATAACTTTCACCTGCTGTCTAAGGTCGTCACAAGAAATCCCAATAATCTGTATTTAAATAGGCTTAGTATTCATTCCTTGTAATATTAATAAGCGCTTTCAATGAATTCTAAAGATTCTGCATATATAAAAAATGAAATGCCGATTAGACGAGACGTAAACAATTGAAAATCTAAATAAATTCCATTAACACGAACACAGTTCCTGAGGAAGAGGTGAAAGTATTTTATGGCTGATTCCAGACAGTAGTGAATATAACAGCCAAGTGTCTTTGTTCGAGTATGAATGGATCCTTAATACCACGCCATTAATAACATTTAGTGTATTGAATATTTTAAAGGTAGTATATCCTTAACCATTAAGGTTACATACATGTTTCAGTAATTTCATGCATAAATTACATATTATTAAAACCATTTCAGCATATGGTTAGGTTAATGAACGGTCAAACTTGAGACTAAATCAGATAATTGAAAGAATTAAATTTCGTTATTAGACTTCATTCATCATAGTCTGAATAGTATATTTAATATTACAGCTATACATATACCTTAAGTTGAGATAGTTCATTTATTATGTATCCCTATATACTTATCTTGGTTGTGAGACGTAATGGTAAAGATTACAAAAACACACAAAAGGATCAGTAACTGAACCACAAAGTTCATTACCTAATTCTATATCCCGATCCCTTCCCATTTGTTAGACCCTATTCTGGAAACCCTCAGCACCCATTATGGAAATCCCTCTATTCGTAATACAAAACCCCATTATAGGGAATCCTGTAACTTCCATGGAAACCCCTCGCTCTCACATATAGAAAATGCCTAGCTTGCTTAGGCTACCCATTATTTTATAAGAGAACTCGTCCTTCCTCAAAGCTAAATTAGAACATCATCGGCATTTAAGGAACCATTTTAACTCACTGGATAATCTCCTCATCCTTTTCACTTATCGAGCACCTCTATGAGCACATCCCAACCCGTCGACTCCATTACATCCAGCGGTCGACCCTACAGACACATTCATAAATTTGTACATGCTATTCTTTCAAAACGGGAATTTTCTCAAATATAAATTAATATTACAATAGCAAAGTGTGCATATATAGGCATAGATTAGGTTCTGTTGGCGGGTTGGCGATTATTTGTATTTGTAGTACGTGGATGAAACATTTCAACCCATCCTCGACTCAAGTCCATTACATCCAGCGGTCAACCCCACAGACGCATTAATAAATTTTAACAAAATATTCATTCAAAACAGGAATTTTCTCAAGTATAAATTAATATTATAATAGCATATTGTGCATATATAGGCATAGGTTAGGTTAGGTTAGGTGTTTAGGTTCTGTTGGCGATTATTTGTATTTGTAGTACGTGGGTGAAGCATTTATAGCGTTGTGATTCGAACAAAATTCGTCAGTGAAGCACTTGTTCCGGATATGTTCGAACGTCAGCAGTTGTGAGTCGTGTGTAAACCGCTTTTCATTCATAAACAGGGGGTTTGGCGGGTGCATGGAATCACTTTTGGATCTTTGTTTGGAGGACGGGCTGAAACATTTATAGCATTGTGGTTCGAACAAAATTCGTCAGTGAAGCACTTGTTCCGGAAGTGTTCGAACGAAATTAGTTGTGAGTCGTGCAGCCCGTCCTCCAAACAAAGATCTAAAAGTGATTCCATGCACCCGCCAAACCCCCTGTTTATGAATGAAAAGCGGTTTACACACGACTCACAACTGCTGACGTTCGAACATATCCGGAACAAGTGCTTCACTGACGAATTTTGTTCGAAACACAACGCTTTAAATGCTTCACCCAGTACTACAAATACAAATAATCACCAACAGAACCTAAACACCTAACCTAACCTATCCTATGCCTATATATACACAATATGCTAATATATTATAATATTAATTTATACTTGCGAAAATTCCCGTTTTGAATGAACAGCATGTTAAAATTTATGAATGCGTCTGTGGGGTTGACCGCTGAATGTAATGGACATGAGTCGAGGACGGGTCGAGTCGTGTGTAAACTATTTTTTATTCATAAACAGGGGGGGTTTGGCGGGAGCATGGAATCACTTTTGAGTCTGTTTGGAGGACGGGCTGACAAATCCAGTATCATGGTTGATGTTGTGCATGAGTCAATTCAATATGCAGGCGTCAATGACGAATAGGCGCAGAAAAGTATTTTTATTTTTCTCCAATTTTGGTACCCTTAAGCACCAATTTAGAGGTCTCTCTAACCTCCGACTGGCCAAGCCCCTTAGAGCAGTAAAGAGACAATGTGATCACAGTACGGACCGAAGACAAGCCTTAAATGGAAGCCAAACAACCAAAGTGGCTTGCTGATTGTAACCTTTCCACCGCTGCCCACTGGACGGGTGTGGGTGTATGATAATCAAATTAAAACTGTATGTAAAACTGGCTCGCCGCAAATGTAAACTGCTGAGCTTAATGATTACTGCAGTCCAGTACTTGAGGCCATTATATGACTGACACCTTACTTCTACCCACTCACATGGATATCGATCCATAATAAAGTATTTAATATATCATAAACTATGTAACTAGCTTAACAATGCTGTACCTTACTTAATTAGACGTGTTATGGAATTATATTTCTTAATTCATTATGTGGAAAAAGTTAGAGGCACATAATGAGTTATGAGGTTCGTAATCAATTAATTTAACTAAAATTGCCTAAGTCATTCACCAATTGACAAACGAGAGAGAGAGACGATAAATCAAGCAACATAGCGATTGAACATGTTTGGTCAGCTTGATTAATTGCTGTTGGGTTTGGCCAATAAATGAAAGGATGGTGAGGAAAGGAAGCTGGCGCTATTATCCCTAATAACTTAGTCAAAAGCCAAACACTTAATTTCAACTCCTAACGGCCTAGCAATCCAAAATCAGGGAAGTTAAACGAAAATATCGACCATCCACTTCACCCTTTTTTGCTCCTTAGGGTTCTACTTTATAGTTTATACCAAAAGATATCAAAAGACTCCCCAGACTTTCCATAAGGCCCCGCAAGGCCTTATTGAACGCCAGGAACATTGAAAACGGTTTAAAACACAGAAGGGGACCCTGGAAGTCTTCCTGAACCCGAGACACCGTCTTGCAAGTCTCCCATAACGGCATCGATTGATCTTGGAAGGCTTCCCAAACATCGAGGAATCATGGAAGACTGTTTTAACGTCAAAGATTTTTGGTGATCGTACCCAGTGTATAAACCTTTTCCCCTCCAATTTTTCCCTTTCTCTTCCCCTACAGCATCTATGATCAGTCCCTCCTTTAGCACTTACTCTTTCAGGCCCTAACCCCTTTATTCCACCCTCTTCCCCCCAAACAAAGTATCCACTCCCTCCACAAGGGAGCCGAGCGGACAGCACGCGGGACTTGTGATCCTGTGGTCCTGGGTTCGATCCCAGGCGCCGGCGAGAAACAATGGGCAGAGTTTCTTTCACCCTATGCCCCTGTTACCTAGCAGTAAAATAGGTACCTAGGTGTTAGTCAGCTGTCACGGGCTGCTTCCTGGGGGTGGAGGCCTGGTCGAGGACCGGGCCGCGGGGACACTAAAGCCCCGAAATCATCTCAAGATAACCTCCCCACCCCTCCATCCATTCCCCTTTCACATCCCCCTCTGGTCAGTGGTATTCAGACAACAGCGGCAGCAGCATAGAGCAGCGGTAGCAGTTATAGAGCAACGGTAGCAGTATTGAGCAACGGTAGCAGTATTGAGCAGCGGCGGCAGTATAGAGCAGCAGCGGCAGTATAGAGCAGTAGCGGCAGCAGTCGACGGAAGATGTACAAACAGGACCCGGCCGGCATGAAGGTGCGCCTTTAACTCGACCAGGAAGGAAGGAAGGCGCACCGCCCACAGCCTCACGTAACACAATACCTCACCCCAACTGCCACACTAAATGTGTATGGCTGCCTTATCTTGGATGGATTACACATGTATGGCCTAGTCTGTTTGTTCTCCGGGGTTGTTATGTTCATTGCTCAGTTGGAAGTTTATAATTGTGTCAAGACTGTTGTATAAGTCAAATTATTCCTACAGTTATTCACTTGACTGGTGTGCTATATCCCTGGTATATCGTTGAAAATTAATGAAAACTCGCTCATGCATTTACATTTGATATGAATATATTGCATTTCATTAGATTATACCGGATGAAGTTAGATTAAATAAAGCATGATAATTTAGGCGAGATAAAGTGTGTTAAAATGATTTTTTTTACGATAGCAGGCTGAAAAAGATACGTCCTCTCGAGCGCTCACGACATCACTAAACTGGTGTACTAAATTGCCCGAATCTAATCTAACCGAGGAACCACAAATAAAAAAAGGGACGTCATGTCAATTTTGGGAGCTGCAAGGAGAATCTCTTCAATTCTGGGAGGAGCCGGTCGGCCAAGCGGACAGCACACTGGACTTGTGATCCTGTGGTCCCGGGTTTGATCCCGGGTGCCGGCGAGAAACAATGGGCAGAGTTTCTTTCACTCTATGCCCCTGTTACCTAGCAGTAAAATAGATACCTGGGAGTTGGGCTGCTTCCTGGGGGTGGAGGCCTGGTCGAGGACCGGGCCGCGGGGACACTAAAGCCCCGAAATTATCTCAAGATATAACCTCAAGATGCAATAACCTTTAGTACATCAATGTTTGGCCTTATAGAGTTATACGTCAAAATGCGATGTCCTATTCGAGTGGACGGGTTGGGAAATCACAACTCACAATGTAACCCATATGTAGCGTAACGCTAATAGAGCACTCTTAAGTATTCATTTAATTAATGTAGCATCGAAGTAAAG